CAACCCTTACTTATTTTTCATTTTAACACCTTATTACTCTTAAACAATTGTTACTACTTTGTTTAATAGTATACAGGTGATTATAGTTTCAAGAGTGGTTTAAAAATAAAATAATTTCTTAAGTAAATTAATACAATGCTTTCTTAATGAGTAAGGCTGTTTATGGGATTAATGTTATGTAACAAATAATTTTTGAAGCCACTTGTAATTATTTTAACTATTAATATTTTCTTACCATACATATCGTATAAACTCCTGTCGTTTAGGTCAGAGATATTACTAATACCTATAGCATCAGCATATATGACATAAGTGTTACATATTTGAAAGATGCACATTCTTTATTGAGTCGAATTTATATAAATTTTTAAATGAAGTTTCATTTAATTATTGCTAGTAAAATGGTGAGTGTTTGAAATATGTTGCACAATACGGAAACTCATTACAATATCTTTCCTGGGAGGACTCTTATTTGTGGCTACCTGGATAGCTCCAGCCAATTTAATCCACACCAGACTCTTGAGTCACTGTAAGTCAACCAGGAGCAGTGGTCAAAACCTGGTCCCTCTAAAGAGGCACAAGGAGTAGGGAGATTCTAGCTTACCCTAACCAAGAAAAGGTCACCAGAAAGTTGGGTAAACCAAAACATACAATCAACAAATATAAATTAAGCATAGAAAATGAGACGAATGAACCCCTGAAATGAACGAACTATCCGGTCATGAAACAGTTCTTGTGTTAGTTCCACTTGTGCAGCGCCTGGGTACTGCACACCTTCCTCCACAACTCTCTAGGCTTAATGCAGTCATTTTGCCTGGCATGAATATTTTGGACATTGCAGTTACATCCCTCCTATCCCAGCATTCTTTCAGTCCTGATTTTTCAGATAAGTTTGGCATCAGGATGTTTAGCATCCTGCCATTGAGAGGCAGTGGTTGGCTTCTGGTCCATGCCTTAGATATGGCTTGGTCCTTATGCCTCTTGTCCTCTTCCCCCATTTTGCTGGGTGGTGCTAGATAGAAAACTATTACCTGAGGATCACACAAAGAACATTCTGAGAGGAGCCAATGCTACACTTTGTAATTTCAAAAATTCTTTTATTTCACCATGGATGGTGAAATACTAAAATTGTTCATGACCTTTGTGAGACCAAAACTGGAACATGCAGCAGTTGTATGGTGCCCATATCTTAAAAAGCACAACAACAAACTGGGAAAGATGCAAACACATGCAACTAAATGGCTCCTGAGCTGAAAGGCAAGAAGTACGATGAGAGGTTAGAAACATTAAATGCCAAAACTAGAAGATAGAAGAAAGAGGCGATATGATCACTACGTACAAAATAGTAATGGGAATCGACAAAATTGATAAGGAAGAATTCTTGAGATCTGGAACTTCAAGAACAAGACATCATAAACTAAACAAAGCTGCCAAAGAAATATAAGAAAATTCACTTTCACAAACAGAGTGGTAAATAGTTGAAACAAATTAAGTGAGAAGGTGGTGGAGGTCAAAACTGTCAGTAGTTTCAAAGAGTTATGTAACAAAGAGTGCTGTGAAGACGGGACACCATGAGTGTAGCTCTCATCCTGTAACTACACTTAGGTAATTACACACACACACACACATACATACATACATACATGCATACATACATACATACATACATACATACATACATACATACATACATACATACATACATACATACACATACACACACACATATTGTAAATAAAAATATGAAATTGTGTTTTCACAAGCAATCTTGCATTCCTTCTTTACTGTTTTCTACTAAGTGACTATTATTGTCAAAGCTTTACATATTTCTCTTGATTTTCTGATCATAAATATACAGATTTTAATATGCTTGCATTTGCATGGTTTTAATGTTATATGCATGTGCTGTGTCATTTTAGGGAAGCCTGTCTTATTTCAGTAAAGTTTGATTTTGGTACTTTATCAGATTAAAGTTTAAATTGTGCTTTAGGTATTTGTTGTAGTGGTTATTTGCTTTTTAAAATTACCAGTATCATATCCTGTTATAAAAATACTTTAAGTATTCTTATCTTTTGTTTTACTTAGTTGAGATTGTTTATACATAAATAGCAATCTCAACTGACTAAAACAAAAGATTAGAAATTGTGCCTGATTAGAGCAGTTTTTTTACTCAAGAAATCTAGAGAGGAAAAAATTAATGTATGTGTGTGCCTAATTGTCCTCATATGCTTTTCCTGTTAATAAGTTTGCAGTACAGTGCCAAAGCTTATTCATGTTTATAGAAGCATATGAAAAAGGCAGCGTCAACCTAAATAATAGTGTTCGATGATGACAATTAATAATCATCGTAGAGTAGATACCACATCATTAAAATGAAACCCCTGTTCAGTATTGACATCACTCAAAAAATATGTTTAAAAATAGTAACATTCATCTCGTCTCAGTCGTACACATTGTAAGAAGATATAGCATCATTTTCAAGCATATCTTGGCAGAAATTTCTGGAGATGATTGGGAATTTGAAATGAAAAACTTAAGATACTCAAAGTTTAAAAGATGCTAATTATATGATGCAGGATAAAGATGCATGTATATAATGCATGTCTTAAGTGATTTCTTTATTTAAATTCTGTCATCAGGCATTCTGTAACTAATAAAGTTTGGGATGATTTACAGGTAATTTGTAACTTTTAAAACTTAACACATTACTGAAACTTATGATTTTTTTTTTTTTTAAATTTAGGTTGAAGCTCTAAGATACATATTAATCCAATTAAATTGAAAATGCATGACGAATGATTTGTCACATATGTAATATATACAGTATATATGTGCAAAATATTTAATAATTACCTAAGAATAGTAACAGAATAACTCCTTTACCTTTAAAAAATAAAATGGGTTTGAAGAAAGAAAAAGATCTCTCACTCCATACACAAATGGGGCAGTAATCGCCGTGATGAAGATTAGAGCATCTTGCTCAAATGTGCGTAGGATACAGGTTATGATAAAAATGTCTACTGCTGCCTCAAGGAAGTATTTCTGTGAAAGGCTTGTCATGGCTGCTACATACAGTACTATAAATAAGGACAGCACACCTTGTTCACCGTCTCCTGCAGTTACATGCTCCCACAAAATGGCATGATGGAAGATTTTTCAGTTTTTTTATTTTAAATCATTTATTTAATCAAAAATTTTTAAGAGTACTGTTCAGTAAAACCATGTTATTCAGTAACGTGTTATTCACAATGCTATATATTTGCCATTTTAATAATTATTTATCTTGAAACAATGCTGATAGAATTGAACATTTCTGCAAATATTTATTTAATTAACTGAGACCCATGCATCACTGACTGTTGCTGTATTATTAGTGAATAATTATTTTGACTCGCAAGAACACAAGAAGTTTGAGGTCATCAATGGCCTTTATGATAGATATATACCATGTAACATTTAGTGTCAAAATATTCAAAGGTAGACCAAATAAGGCAAGATTATGTAACATTTTGTGTACATGATGATGCTATGTCTGATAATCACTATATTTTTGGGAGTATTTTAGAATATTAAAGTATATGAATAATAACAAACTTCTACAAAAAAGGATATTGTATGGCTGATTGTTATTTAAGTTTGTTTCATTGATTGTGTAATTATTGTATATGGTACATGGTACATGGTACAAGAAAACATAAGGGAGTTCATCACAAAATGAAATTTAAAATCTAAGAAGGATATTTCTTTTTTATTTTGCGAGTAAATCTGATAAAGATGAACAAGACACAAGTGGTAACTTCTTTGAGTAAAATGTGCTGTGTGTGATGCATAAATACAGAATTATTTGACCTCAACAAATACAAAAAATAGTTAATTTTGTAGAAATATTCCCTTCAAAAGAGTCCTTTATGTAGTAATGCAGATACAGTATGTTCATTCTGCAGACTTTGTTATTGGAGATATACACGTGTTGGCATCACTTGATGATCAACATATTGGATGAGTTTCTAAGATAAATTTGAAGTATTATTCATAGTTTTCTTCATTAGATGATATTACAGTTAGTGACAATAATATCAATAAAATGCTTTTACCTCATTTATTGGTATGCCAGAAGTTGGAAGGTTTTTCTGAAGAAAAAGAGATTTGCAAAGGATTATTTTAGCTAGTTGGGAAGTTTTGAGAAGAGCATTGTATCATATACCGTGTTTAATAACACTACACTCCTGGTTAAATTGAATGCCAGCCATTACTGCAGTACATGACACATTTATTATTATATATTTACTGCAGCTCTTGCTTCTTAATGAACAACATTATCAGCCATACTTTAGTACTTAATGTTTTACAACTTTAATCAGTAAAGTTAGTTAACACAAACTTTCACTAAAGGAGAGCTCACATTGTTAACAATGCTTGCAAGGCATAAGTTTCCTGTCAGAGATAAGCTTCACTTGTTATTCACCGCAAGTTGTACTCATCAGCATGGAACACGGCACGGCTCTAAGGGAGCAATGTATTCGGTCATCTTTATCAATTATGTTACTATCTAATTTAAAATATTTCATAAAAAAAAAAAAATGAAATGGAAAGCTACATGCTGGTCGCTGAGCATTACATTAAGGTGTATTTTGAATCTTGTATACATTTAATATTTAGAAAGTAATTTAGATATATTCATGCCAAAAAAGTAACCAAATTGAAATAATTATTATTAATGATATGTGTTGTGAATAATAGTATTGTGAATATCATAGCCATTATTGGTTTTATTAATTTTCATTTTTGTTATCAAGTATCTGGCGTGATTGGTTTATTAGTTTTGATAATTGTAGCATTTTGCTGTACTAATTTTCTTATGTTATACAGGTACAGACAAATTTGATTTAATTTTAATTATTTTTATTTATTTCAAAAGATATATTGAGAAAATCACTCTAGATGGATTCTCATTTCTTATCTTTGTGTTGTACATCCTAATGTTAATATTGTATATACAGCGGGAATCCCTTCTTCTTCAAATTGAAATGCTGAAGCGGGAGATAGCTGCATCTCTCCACGACCGAGATAAGGCTATAAAGGAGTGTAACGACCTGCGAGAACGATTTGGTGCCAAGGAAGACACAAACAAGGAGTGGGAACGCTCATATATGGGATATGACAACTACAAGCAGGAAAGGTTATTATCAATGTTCTGCCTACTATAGAAGTTTAAAGAATTTTTAAAATTCACCTTTTCTAATCTGTAGATACTAAGTAATATTGCAAAGTTTGGCAGTCATATCACCTGTCATGACTGATGAATTAACACAAATATTGTTATACAGTATTTATGCAGCAGATATGAACATTTGATAATTATAATAGATCGATAATAATCCTAAATAGATAAGATATTTATCCAAAGGAAGAATTACGAGCTCAAACGATATATTAAAAAGAAGTACATAAGTACATCATATATATGTTATATATATATATATATATATGTATATATATATATATATATATATATATATATATATATATATATATATATATATATATATATATATATATATATATATAATATGGTGGTGGAGGTATATATTCATGGTGGAATTGGAAAACAATTGGAAATACAGTATAGTATACTATGTACAATATATCTTCATTGTTCAAGTTTGTACTGGGATCTGAACATTAGTAAGAATGTTTTAAAAAAAAGGAAGCAAAGAACAGAATTTTATTATTAAATTATTATATTTTATAATTTTTTTTTTTTAAGGAAAATCAAATTTGGTTGATGCATTTTGAGAGAAACAGTATGCTTTAAATTGGATGAATTTAGTCAGTAAATATATTACATTGAAGAAGACAATTGCATTTATGACAGTATTATTAGTACAAAATATTAATATAGAAGTATAGCTTAAGTGTTAGAGAAAGAAGCTGCCTTTTTCAGTGTTTAGTAATCAAAATTAAAGGAGGCTGTACATTGCAGATGTTTGACTAATTGCATTGAGAAAGTTCATGGTGGTGAGTGTTGTGAGGGGTCACTAATGGAGTGAGAGTATTCCAGTGAATTTGAGAGTTGAATAAGAAGAGAGACTAGGAAGAACGTGCATAAGTATGGTGAGTGAATGTGTGAGAAAGCAGTGTGTAATTACCTAAGAGTAATTACAGGATGAGAGCTACATTCGTGGTGTCCTGTCTTCCCAGCTGTCATATTCACCATTTCATGATAGACAATACAACTTTGAAACTACTGATTGTTTTGCCCTCCACCACCACCTACTTCGCTTGACTTGTTCCAATCGTCTGCCGCTCTGTTTGCAAAAGAAAACTCTAATATTTTTTTGCATCTTTGTTTCCTTAGCTTGAATCTGTGATTTTGTGTTTGGAAATTGCTGATTTCAGGAATTTCTCTGTCAATTTGGTTGATTTCTGCTATTATTTTACAAATAGTGATTATATCACCTTTTTTTTATCATTTAGCTTTGGCATATTTAACACCTCTACCCTCTCTTCGTAACATTCGTTTTTAGTTGCGGAAGCCATTTTGTAGCATGCCATTGCCCCTTTTCCAGTTGATTTATATGCTTCTTGAGATATGGGCACAATACAACTGCTGCATATTCCAGTTTTGATCTCACAAAAGTCATGAAAAGTTTCTTTAGTATTTCACTATCTATTTAATTAAAAGCACTCCTGAAGTTGGAAAGTGACGCATATCCTCCTTGCACAATGTTCCTCATGTGTTCGTCTGGTGACAGTCTACTATCCAAAACCATACCAACATCTTTTTCTTTATTAGAGTTCTTTAATTCCATTCCAGATAATTTGTAAGTTGTGTGTTGTCTATTTTTCTCTTATATAACATTCTCTAACATGTCATTTATTCACATTGAATTCAATTTGCCACATGGTACTCCAAGCACTTATTTTATTTAGATGAATTTGAAGAGCGTTACAATCTTCTGTATCGCTTATCTTCCCCAGTATCTTAGCATCATCCAGAAATATGTTCATTTAATTCTTTATTCCTTCTGGTAGATCGTTTATATAGATGATGAGCATACTCCAGTCTGATACATTGTCTCTGATTACTGCTCTCATCTGTCTGTAAGTTAGAATAATTTCATCCATGTCAGCAGTCTCCCTGTCACCCTTCCAGCATGTTCCAGTTTCCAAAACAACCTCTTATGTGGGACTCTGTTAAAAGCCTTTTTTAGGTCCAGATAGACAGTCAACCCAACCATCTCTCTCACTGTATTATCGCTGGGACTCTATCATAAAACCTAAGTTGATTTGTTGTTCAAAAACCATACTGTCTGTGTGTTATGTCATTACTCTCCAGGTATTCTACCATTTGGTTTTAACTATTTTTTTCTAGTGTTTTTGACTACCACATTTGTTAATGATATGGGTATGTAATTTAGAGGGTCATTTTGGCTACTATTTTTTGTAGATTGGAATTACAAAATTTTGCCATTTTCCAAATATCTCCTAAGATTCCTGTGGACAAAGTTGTCTGAAATATCATTTAAAGTGGAATGCTCAACAAAGTTGCACACACTCAGCATCCTAGGTGAAACTTCATCTGGTCCAACAGCTTTATTTCTCCCTAGCCCTTGAGTAAATGTTCCACTTCGTCTCAAGGCACCTCTATGTACTTACTCTAAGGTGTTTTCTGAAATCCTCCTTTTGAACACACACACTTTGGAACTGTTCATTTAGTGTTTCACACATTTCTTTTTCATTCTTGGTGAACCTGTTCCCCATTCTCAGTCTCTGTATTTTATTCTTTACATGCAGCTTGCTTTTAATGAATTTATAGAAAAGGCCAGGATCTGTTTTACACTTGTCTGCAACCCTTTTCACAAAGTTCCTTTCTGCCTCTTTCCTCACTACAGCGTATTTGTTTTTTGCTTGTTTGTAAACCCTAGTATGTTTGAGGGTTTGGCCTCTTCCTATAATGTACCCATTTTCTTGTCTTTTCCTTTCTGGCCCTCTCATAATTTCTATTGAACCAGTCCTATTTTCTGGTTTTGCATAGCTGTTTTGGTATACATGTATATTTTTTTGTACCTTCGTCATATAGTTCACAGAATTTGGCATCTCATTTATTTTCTTGCTAACAATAAGTCTTTCCAATTATATTCATTAAAGAATTAGCTAAGTTCCTCATAGTGTCCTCTCTGTATATTATTAAAATTGCTTTTGATAGTTACTTCTTCCCAACCTCTGTTGTTCTCGTGAGTGTTAAATGTTCTTACCAAGAATATGTCCCCCTCCCTGCATTATTGCAATATATGTTCGATGTTTTGCCATGGGGGATTTGAATTGCAGAATTTTTTTTCGGTCATATTGTGATGAATCCTGCTATATTAAGTCTACTTGCATGACCCCTCACTGTTTTCTGCATTAACTGTGGTGGTGACCACTGTGCATTCCCACAGTACTATGCTCACTCTGAAATGAAATGGTCCCATTTACATCTAAAGCACAAGAACAACACCCAATTTTCTGTGAGGAGCCCTTCGGCTTCCTGAATCTATCCTACTAATACAGTGCTCTCCTATTTGGAGTCATTGGTCGTAGAGTTCTTGTTGCCTACCGGGGACCAGAGCTAGAGCCTGATCGCCTCAGAGAGGCACAGGTTGTCCTCAGTGTCATTAAGTATAGCCAGCCTGCGGTCTATCCTCGTGCCCATGACAGCTCCCCCTCCCCCCATGAGGGGTGGCACTAACGAGTGGGGGGGGGGAAATGGATGCAACCCATCCTATTAAAATAATTTATGCGACTTTATAAAACAAAATAATTTATTTCCACGCACCCAAAAATATTAACTTGAAAACACATTTTATACAGAATACTACTCATAATTTTTTTTACTGTATTTACCTTTATTGAGGACTCTTGTTGGTGTATAGAAGACAGTACTCACCTATTTGTACTCGCCTATTTGTGCTTGCGGGGGTTGAGCTCTGGCTCTTTGGTCCCGCCTCTCAACTGTCAATCAACTGATAGTGAGGTGGTAGTGTCAGTGAAGTTCTTCCATTATAACATCAGGCATTGATGACATTTCTGGGGTACTCTCTCCTACATTTTACAGGCATACCTCTAGGACCTGGTTGTGGCTCACTGCATGTTTGTCTCGCTAAGAATCTGTCTATAGACTTGTTTTCCCTACGTCTGAACACTCATCTGTAGTAAGACATCACATTGTCATTAAAAAGGTTAATGCAATGGCCTGATACAGCTTTATCTGGGCGAGTCTTTTCTGCAAAACTTTGCGTTCTTCCCATACTGCACACATTTTCTTAATGAGGTCATGATATCCTCTACTGCCTCCTCTTTCTCTGAAGAAATTTCCTCACCGGTCTCTTGTTGCTGCGCCTTGTGACAGGCTAGGAGTTCTTCGGTGGTCAGTTCATCACATTGTTCCTCCGCCAACTCGTCCACATCGGCACCATCCAACTCCAAGCCTAATCTCAGGCCCAGAAACAATTTCCTTGACAAGAGGCACAGCAGGTTCAGGCTCAAACTCCTCAAAATTTGACCAGACCACACACTAGAAGGTGAAGGGACGACGATGTTTCGGTCTGTCCTTGACCATTCTCAAGTTGACCATCCTCAAAGTCTCTCTACCACTGACTGTCTTGGGAACCATAGTGTGATATATAATATCTTATACTGTATGTATATTTAATAAAGCAGAAAAAGAATGAAATTCTTCACAAAGAATTCAAGCGCAGTCGTCACGAGGTAAGATACACTGGTAAACTGAGCGTGCCTCACCCCGCACAATCCACGCACTTGACCCATACAAGTATCAACAAACGAGTTGTACTCTGAAGAAAACATCATACACTGGGTCAAATTTTACAACAAAATTTATGTTGTACACTAGAAAATTCATACTCTGGGGCTTCTCTTAGACCATAGACCAAGGTTTCACTGTATATATAATCAGATCATCATTACAGTTTACAGGGGTACCTCGGTTTAAGAATTTAATCCGTTCCTGGAGACGGTTCGTAACCCGAAAATTCGTAAACCGAAGCTAATTTCCCCATAAGAAATAATGGGAAATGAATTAATCCGTTCCTGACTCCCCAAAAACTTCACTTCAAAGTAAATTTTATACCTAATTCACCCAAATCTACACTACAAAAGTATGTTCAAGTTATTACT